TACATATTCTAGGGTGATTCTATCCGTGTGTCGCTTCAACCCGCGGATGCAGCGAAACTACCCTGGTGTGTTGTTCTGCCTCGGAGAGGCGAAGGGAAAGCGGAGGGGGTTCTTCCCCGAGCTATTGGGCGGGGAGGAAAGACGGCTCCGAATTACTGGGCAGTGCCGTCTAGGAAGGATTGCAGCGGATGTGAACGCCCTCCAAAGAGTTCTTCTATCTTCCTGAAATGAAATGACCGCGGGTGGTTGGGAACCATTCAAGGGATGTTTGTCTTCTAGACAGACAACCCAACTGGGAGCTTTCATTACTCTCTGGAAGGCTAGTGTGACTTAGAGATTTCAGACCCTCACGGGAGCCTGACCTTTATCAAGCCTGGCTTGCAGGCTGATGCTCCACAGATTTACCGAGGGTGAGTGAAACAGCGCCCTCTCACCGGCCCGCGCTCATCTCGGTTCCCTTACCCCTTTGGAAACTGCAGCTAGCCAGCAGTTAACCTTTGCTGCTTGGTTTGTCTGGGCAGGGGAGGTCTCCCCTTCTCAGAAGCTGCTCTCTCACTTGATTACTTTAAACTTCATACTTTAAAAAACTTGGCTTCCTCCCACGAAGAAAAAAAAAAAAAAGTCGCTGGGAATTTCCACAATTTCCCTTGAAAGTTAAAGAATTTATAAATGTTAGACCTGTTTGCATGGCATGAAAAGACAAAGTAACAGCACTCAAAAATGTCAACCTTTGAACCTCTAACACTTTCTGATTTATATTAAATTCTTTCCAAAAAGACGCAGGAGCCTTAAAGTAATCCTTAGATCTGAAGGGGGAAATCTGTAAAAAGGCAAATCACAAATGAGCCATTTAATACTTGCAAGTTGTTTAACATTAAAGCGATAATATTTGCTTCCACAATAAAAAGGAAAGAAAAGAAAACCCAAAGGTACTTAGCCAAGTTTCAAACTAGCCAGGATTTGGAAAGTCAGCCCTCCCCCAATAAAGGTTAAAACAAAGATTGAAAATATTAAATCACTTTGCTATAAGTGAGTTCATTATACTCCCAGAACATTATAAAGACTGACATCAATAGACCCCTTTGATTTATGTTGCTTTTTCTACTAATTAAACAAAATTGACCTCCTCTCTCTCCTTTCTTCCCCCCTCCCACTCACTTTTCTGGTGTTAATGGCAAAACATCTATCAAATATTTTTAGAATTTCCTCTCCCCCACAAAACGAGAAAGTATAGACACAGGGAAAAATAGTCTTTATATATTCAAATGCCAAAGTTTCCTTATAATACTTCACCTTTTTCTTGATTTACAGTTTCTGGTCTTCTGGCCAAAGGAGGAAGATCTTCTCAGCAGTCTGTTCCAGAAGTAATTTTTGTTTGCTCTTTAAAAAAGTAAAATTAAATCTTAAATGAATTTTTAAAACTTCCCATGAGGAGTCTTTTCTGTTCCTACCAAAGGCAATTACTAGAAAGCTGGAAAGCAGGCACCTGCCCTGCTCATTACTTTCAGCAGGGACTCTCCTCAATATATACCTGGGGCCCTGCCTTTTTGCCTTTCTGAAAAGGGCCTTTTCTGACATCATACTCTAGTTCCCACTATAACTGAGTAGCCTCTAGGATAATGCTGAGGACGTGGGAATGCAAATGACGTGACTCCACCCTGGAAGGCCTTTTTCCTCTCTCCCTCTCCTTTTTTTTTTTTTTTTGCTTAGGACTAGAACAGGTGCCAATAGATGCTGAATGTTCACTTAGGCCTTGCTATCACATAAATGCACGTTAGCAAATAGGGGGATTTGGAGGCCTGTCTAGCGTCTGAAGTATCCCATGCGAAGACAATTTAGCATTGTGGGAGCTGCACTTACATGAAAGGCTAGTCCAATTTTGAGAAAGATTTTCTAAAATTTTAAGTGCACTTTTTACACTGAAATTCATGTTTAAATAACTGGTTGATGTGTATCTCCAGGGATATCTCCTCTAGCAATTTAGGAAAACAAGCACTTAGGTTTAGCTTTTTCATCTTTCTCCCCCTTTCCCCCCTCAGCCCCAAGAACAAGGAAACAAACCTGCAAATCAGAAAAGTACCGATGGCTCTTTAAACAGTGCACCTGGGCTTAGAAAGTCCCTTATCTCGTTACCAATACGCATCCAGACTTAACATTTGCCAATCCGTAGCTCCAAGCGATCGTTCTTAAGTCCTACAAAACCAAACAACTAAACTCATCCCTCCTCGGCTCTGAACGTCTTCTTTGTGTACGTAGAGACGGGTGCATAATTAGCTCAGGTAAAGTTATCTTTTGACTCTGTTAAAATGAATTCCAAATCACTTACTTGCCTGGACTGAGACGTGAGAGGAGGCTGTTGCCAACGGACCCCA